CCCCAAAACCCCAAAACCCCAAAACCCCAGACCACAAAAAAGATACTGAATTTTACACCAAATTATCCTCCTCCCATCTTCCACCCCTAAACTAGCCCACTTCTGTATTCTGGCCTCCTAAACCCCCTCGAACTACTCCTTCTATTCTTCTTCCTTTTCCTATCACTCATACTCGATACTCTTCTATGTCGTTTCATACTCCTCGATTGCCTTGTCTTCTCCCTTCTCAAGGCATTATTCTTGATCCTTTCCTGTAAATCTTTTCAAAATCTCTTCTTAAGCTAATGCATTATACGTAAGAAAACTTACCCGCTTTTTAGGCAATTTCTTCTTAATCCTTGCACGTTCTTTATTTGAGCTCCTTTTGTTCTTTGTCATGCAAACGTAAGGTTTTTGATAGTATTCCTAGATTTTAGAATGATAGATTACTTTTTAGCTGTGAACTTTTGATGTTTATGATGTATGCTGGCTTTATCTCTATATTATGGTGAATCTTTCATAAATGGAATTTTGTGGTTATGGTATTATAGAGAAGAGGTTATGTTTCTTAGCCTCAGAAGTTAAATTGTTTCTCTCATAAAGGTGGAATTTTAATGGGGTTTGTCTCTGATTTTAATTGTTTGATGTTTTTAAGAGTTAGAAAATCATGTTTGATTTTTTTGAATTTTACCTGTTTTTAAACTAAAAGTAGGAGCTGAGAGGCTTTCTTCTGATGGAACCAGCAGTTTTCCTTTTACAATTATCACAAAACCCTCTATCAAAATGCCCAGAAGTACTTTTACCCCTCTTAACTTTACTCTTCTCCAAATTCAGTGTAAACTCTCTTAACCTTCCTTCTACCTTCATATTACTCCCTCTATCAATATCACGACTACCCTTACCACCACTCTCTCCTCTGCCATCACCATTATTACCATCACAACTGTAACCTCTTCCATCTTCAGTAGCACAGCTGCGATAGTATCTGTCACTATATAACTCGCCAGTGTAAAGACAGCTAGTGGTGCTATTTCCCCAACGGTTTAAGGAACGGGGTCTTAGACATTTTAGAATTTAAGATCTCAGAAGACCTGGACTTTAATCAGAGCCGTTGCTTAATTGGGCAATTTTGAGATATTCAGCTCAATTTCTTCATCGTTTTCCTCTTCTTCTTGCTTTATTGGCGGGGAGTATGATAGGAGTTTTCTGCGATTTTTGGGCTTTGAGATATGCTTTGGCCTAAATTTTAGAGTTTTTAAGTCGATGTTGTTAGTGATAGTAGTATTGGCTAAGAATTCAAACTGCACCTTGGTTGATTTATTTTTTAGCAGCTTTATCTTTAATGATGGGTTTGATTGGTATGGCTTGGAGATATGAGTCATCAAAATCTTCTTGGAATCGAGCTGTGTCAATAGTTAAGAATTTTTTTAAAACAGGGGCGCCATAGGACCTTCTAGTCAAGCTCTTTAGCCTTTTCATTTCGCTAATTTATATGAAGCTTCTAAATATCAATATATAAAAGATACTATCTTTTGATATCTTTTTAACAATCTTCTCGCTTGAGAACTTATAATGGATAAAATTAAGCATAAATTGTGTCATTCCTGACTCTTTAGTATCTTTTTTAGCCGGAAACTTTCATACCAACCAGTACCAATGTATCAGCTAACCACTTTATTGATACCTTGCAAGTAATATTTTTATAAATATTTGGAAAGATATCTTATAAAAATTCCAAATTTATTAAAAAATTATAATTTCAATAACTTCTTATCACTCTACAAAATTCTGACATTAACCCAAAATCCCCAAATAACCCTTATCCATAGACTAGCAAAAGGTACTAATTTACTCTCACAAAGACTGCTTAAAATCTCTACTTCTACATAACCTTCAGCAATAGGGCAAAGCAAAGTTAAGTAAATAAATTTTAACAGATATACTTTGTTCAATTAGAGATTAGTGAGGTGGGGTTTTGGGGTTTTGGGGTTTTGGGGTTTTGGGGTTTTGGGG